GTGTTTGTTTTACTATGGTTGCAAATATCAAAAAATTTCTATATGTGACATGGCACCAGAGTTAAGTTAGCGTTTTTCAAAATTCTGACACACTGAGCTCAAAAGGTTCATCATCACTGTCGTAAGCCATCAGTTGGACATTCGTCAAGGGCTCCCAGACTGCGAGAGGGTGCAGGCCAGGCTGAGAGACCCCCCCCCACCCCCGTGTGCATGAATTTTGTGCACCGGGCCTCTAGTCTATGATAAAAAGTTTTTTAGGAAGGAAACTGAAATCCTGAACTAAAATGAAGCTTTCCAGTTTATCTGGACTGGTCTGCTTATCAAAAATCAAGAGACAAAAATGGGCATAAGTCTTATATTCATAATGATGAAGAGAACCAGGTCTAAGAAATAGAAATGATGCTCTTGCTATAAAGCCCCAGTGTGCAGATACTCTGTCTTTGGATCTTAGATTGTATTACAACCTTTTTTGCAGTACTTACTTAGATCATTGTTGACTCAGATAAGCTTAATTCTGTGACCCTGCAGAAACAGATCATAAATACCAATAGAGAAAGACATGTTTGTAGTTTGACCTTGAAACGATGAGCTAAAGGTGCTGAGGAAACCATAAATTCAATTTACAATAACAAAAATAAGATTCTTTCTACCTTGCCCAGTGAATAAAGTGAAAATCTAATATTTTTCCTGGTACATGCTGTACATTTTGCCAGGCTTGATTAAAGTCCTCTTTAGTAGGTAGCTAAGAGAGGAACTGAATAAAAACACATAATATAAGGCTTTTGACTCCTACCTTGTTCTTCAAGACTTAATTCTTTTTTAAGAGCTGCTTTCACTCTTTTTTTTTTTTCAGGTTCTGTTTATGAAATGTTTGGAAATGAATGCTGTTTGTCAACAGGAGAGGTGATTAAAATTACTGGCCTCAAAATTAAGAAGATCATAGCTGAAATTTGTGAGCACAGTGAAGGTGGTGAATCACCACAACCATTTGAATTGCCTATGAATTTTCCAGGTACAGTATATTGCAACCATTTCTCACTCGTAAAACTGCATTGCTAATAGATATATACATCTATACAATTGCAAACAATGAAAATGTGGTAGTGTTTTTTATTCACTTTAGAGCAGTGGGTAAAAGAATCATAATTCTTATAGTTCAGTGGTTTTAAGGACTAATATAAGGCAAATATTTTCTTACCCTTTTAAATAAACATCCTTTACTTAGGACTAAATATTTTCTGTTAATAAATATTTACTGATTTTCAACTACAAGCAACACTGGCTATATTACATAGGTAAAATAAAGAATTCAAAGATATATTTTCATAAGTCATGTTGAACACTATAAATATGCAGAGGTGGGCACGAGTAGGTCTATAATTGTGAGTATGTGAAACATAAGGTTTATTCTTGTATTATTATTTATTATTATATTATTTCCATATGAATAACTATAAGCCTACTTTTGCTCACTGCTGTACATTTAAACACATTAACCCTCTTTATTCCCATTGCCATTATTCTAGCTCTCTGGATCACTGCTAAACTCCCCTGCTGATCTTACTGGCAAGTCTAGCTGCTTTTCTTTGTCTAGTTAATTCTACTCAGCCTTACAAAATTACTCTAAATATCATGTCTTCTGGAAGATTTTTTCTGACCATCTAATCTAAGCTAGAAATACCTCTTTTATGTTCTCTTAGTATATTGAGCACCAGAGCATTCACCTTATTTTTAAAGTATTGATGATTTTCTCTTTTGTATTATTCCCTAGACCAGTGGTTCTCAACCTTGGCTGCACATTAGAATCACCTGGGAATCTTTTTAAAATCCTGATTTCTGGGCCTCACCCTTCGGAAATTCTGTTTCTTTGTTACTAATGTTGTGGCCCCACCCCATAACAAAGAAACAGAATTTCCGGAGGATGAGGGCCACAACATTAGTAACAAAGAAACAGAATTTCCGGAGGATGAGGCCCAGAAATCAGGATTTTTAAAAAATTCCCAGGTGATTCTAATGTGCAGCCAAGGTTGAGAACCACTGCTCTGGACCAAGGGTTGTCAAACCTTTTCTAAAAAGGGCCAGATAGTAAATTTTAGACTGTGCTGCCAGATGGTCCCTATCACAACTACTACATTTTGATGTTGTAACATAAAAGAAGCTCTAAATACCAAACAATGAGCATGGTTCAACAAAAAAATGTCTATATAAACAGGTGGTCAGCAGAATTTGGCCTGTGAATCATAGTTTGCTGACCTCAGCTCTAAAGTAAAATTCCTTCACAGATAAAATATTACATAAGGGACTTTGTCTTTCTAGTAACAAGCACATTTTCTGGCACAGAGAATGTGCTCAATAATTGTATATTGAATGAATGATGAGTGGAAGAAAAAACTCTAATAAAAATTTACAATTTAATGTGATTCATGGTATAATGGAGGTATGTATAGGTTTTATGAGAGTCTTGATAAGTAACATTTAACACCAGTTGGTCATGTTTCAAAACATGTATTTCTGAGTCATTATATTTGAATCTCAGCTCTGCCATTGTTAGTTGTGTAACCTTGCCAAGTTATGTAGCCTCCTTTTATGTAAACTGATAATAATCCTGCTACCTATCTTTTAGTGTTGTTAGGAGGGTTAAGTATTGAAATATATTTAAAGTGCTTAGAATGTTGCTTATCACTTAGCAAGGGCTATAAAAAAATGTTAGCTTTTATTACAATTATTTACCTTGTTATCATCAGTGGAGTCGGGCAAAGCTTTTTCAAGAATGTTATACTTGAGCTGAGGTTTGAATAAAAATGAGTTAACTGTATGAGGAGAGGATTCTTCTAAGTGCTCCAGTATTCCAACCCTTTCAACTAAAATCTTTCTCACAGAATGATTCTAATTATTCCTTCCTCAGCCCATTCATATCAGTAGTGATTCTCAAACTTGGCTGCACATTGGAATTGCCAAGGGAACTTTAAAAAATGTTGATGCTCAGGCCACTTGCCTGAGATGTTCTGATTTATTTGGTCTGGGATAAAGTCTGGTCATCAAGGTTTTCTAAAGCTCCCAGAGTGGTGATAATGAGCAGCCAAGTTTGAGAACCATTTCTTTAGAACAGCGGTTCTCAACCTGTGGGTCGCGACCCCTTTGGCGGTCGAATGACCCTTTCACAGGGGTCGCCTAAGACCACCCTCATATCAGATATTTACATTACGATTCATAACAGTAGCAACATTACAATTATGAAGTAGCAACGAAAATAATTTTATGGTTGGGTCACAACATGAGGAACTGTATTTAAAGGGCCAGAAGGTTGAGAACCACTGCTTTAGAAGAAGCTTTTCCTAAGTACTCTAATTGATGTGTCAACTCTCCTTTTAAATCACCATAGGCTTTCATGCCTTAATCATTGCATTTACAACGTTTTGTATATAATTGAAGTTATTTGTGTACTTGTCTTATAAGCACCATCTGCTTAATAGATCATAAGGTTGCTGGGGAAGGAATCTGAATCTCAATTATTGCTGTAATCCCCACAGTGTTTAGAAGATGTATATAATCAATATTTAGTAAGTCAAAATTACTAGAATCTTCTGGTAGAAGGAACATTTCTTATTATAGTAGTTAAAACACATAGCTTTTTGACTTATAATTTAACTTGGGGAATTGCTGCTTAGAATATCCCATTGAGCTTTCAGTAAACATAATCATCTTACATCAATTGAGCAATGATTTAAAAATGTATGTACAAAGCTAGTTTTTTTGTAAGAATCAGGATTAAGTGATTGGTGATGATCTGGAGATTGTTTTTACCTTCCTCAAAACAAATTATCCTTCTAGGTAATGATGAAAAGGATCGCCGATATAGAAATAATTCATCTATATCAGCACTAGGTAAAAACCAAGGATACTAATATTTTTTATAAATTTCAATAGAGAAATGTCTTTATTTATACTCTACTCAAAAGTTTCAATTTCAACTTCCAGTTAGATTATAAACTCAAAAAGTTCAATATATTTTTAAATACCCTTTTTTAATTGGGAATTTTCCATAAATTTATTTTTTACTGATTCTTAATTTCATTCTATTGTGGTCAGAAGACACACTTTATTTAATTTCAGTTCTTGTAAATTTATTGAGATTTGTTTTATGGCCTAACATATGAACTAGCCTAATGAATATGCCATGTGCACTTAAGAAGAATGTGGATTCTGCTATTGCTGGGTGGAGTATTCTACAGATGTCTGTTGGTTTATAGTATTGTCAAGTCTTATGATTTTTTTTGGTAAAATCTCTATCAAGATCTACCCATTATAGAAAGTGGAGTTTTGAAATTTCAAACTATTATAATTGAATTATTAATATTTCTTTTCAAAACTGCAGCTCTAGTTTCATGTATTTGGAGGCTTTGATATAAGGTCGTTATGTGTTTTGTAATAGTTATTTGTTCTTAATGGAGTGACCCTTTAATCCATTTTGAGTTAACTTTTGTGAAGTGTATAAGGTCTGTGTCTAGATGCCCTGGTCAGAGTGGGTGCAGGAGGCACTCAATCAATGTGTCTCTCTCACATCAGTGTTTCTCTCTGTGTGTCTCTCCCCCTCCCTTTCACCCTCTCTAAAAAAATCAATGGAAAAATATCCTCAGGTGAGGATTAACAACAACAAATTTAGAAAAAAGAAATATGATAGAGCTTTAGAGATGAACCATTCTTTACTATCCTACACTCTACTTTTCCCTTGTGATACACTCAAATGAGAATCTTTTTTTAAAAATATATTTTATTGATTTTTTACAGACAGGAAGGGAGAGAGAGAGTTAGAAACATCAATGAGAGAGAAACATTGATCAGCTGCCTCCTGCACACTCCCTACTGGGGATGTGCCCACAACAAAGGTACATGCACTTGACCGGAATCGAACCTGGGACCCTTGAGTCCGCAGGCTGACGCTCTATCCACTGAGACAAACCAGTTAAGGCTCAAATGAGAATCTTGATAATGCGCCAGACACTGTTCAAAGTGTTCCAGAGAAAGCATTGTGATAGGAGATGACAGCTCCAGGCACGGTATTGCCCCTGAAGACCTTCCAGTGGGACACGATGTGGGTGAGGAAGACAAGGATATTGATGATCTTGACCCTGTATAGGCCTAGGCTAGTGTGTGTGTTTGTCCCTTAGTTTTTAACAAAAAAGTTTAAAAAGTAAGTAAAAAATTAAATAGAAAAGCTTATAGAATAAGGCTATAGAGAAAAATATTTGTGTCAGCTATGCAATGTGTTTGTGTTTTAAGCTAAGTGTTACTAATACAAGAGTCTAAGAGTTAAAAAATTAAAAGGATTATAAAATAACAAAAAAGTTACAGTAAGGTAAGGCTGTTTATTATCGAAGAAAAATGTTTTAATAAATTTAACATAGCCTAAGTGTACAGTGTTTATAAAGTCTACAGTAATGTACAGTAATGTCCTAGGCCTTCACATTCACTCATCACTCACTGAGTCCCCCCTGAGCAACTTTCAATCCTGTGAGCTCCATTCATGGTAAATGCCCTTTACAGGTGTGCCATTTATTTTTGTCTTTTATGCTGTATTTTTACTGTACCTTTTCTGTGTTTAGGATATGTTTAGATACGCAAAATTAGATTAATAATAGAATTATTTTTTCAAGAAATTGTTTGACTAGAATTAATAAAACCTGCTTCTTTGTGCCTGGGTATCAAAATGCCTAATACGTAAACATTTTTCAAGATAAATCTCCCTGTTGTTTTATTTAGGAAGCTATATACTTAATTGATAGAAAGCATAATATTGCATTCAGTGGTCATTCAGTGTATGTTTTATCTACCACTGAAATGACTAAATTTTTTAGTATTAGCCATTTTATGATTGCATCTAATTTTTTAGAAGCTGACTAAAATATCAGCTTATAAATTTCTTTTAGAAATTACCTGTTAGCAAAATTGTTTTTGCAAAACTATATTTAAAATATATTTAGTAGCTTTATAGTGCATAACCTTTTCAGCTCC